GACAAATTGAAAATGTTGACATTTGTGAAGAGTTTGAATACGAACGCGATTTGGCAGCTCAAAGCTTGGCCATTGTCAAAAACTCTTTGCAGCCCGAAGAAATCGAAGAGAATTTACATTTGACAGAAAAAATAGAAAAGCAACCCTGAAAATCTATTCAACATCTAAAACATAGAAATATGATAGCTGCAAAAACTTTAGGAGCCTATATTGAAGTATGCAACCATTTAAGACGCCCCCAGAAGGTCTTAACTGCTTTGTATTTTCACCAGAACAGGTCAAGAAAGGAAGTTCAAAATCGAGTTTCTAGCATGAAATCTTTATCCGTCTATTACACTTTGTTGAAGGTAAAGTTTTCCACATTATACGTACAAAGGCTGTTATGTATTATTTTTAGGGCAATGCCCCATCTTTCAAATGATGATGCCCTACCTTTAAAACACAACATGCGTTGAGGTTTCTCTAGGAAATTTAAGAGTAGAGTAGATGAAAGCACTGTTCCAACCAACATGAGAACCGTTTTAGAACGGTAATGTCCAGTCGATCAATTCATTTGTCAAGTAGGATAAAGTAAACGTTCAACCAGTTCAACTTATTGAAAATTAGGTGGCCAATTGGAAATTAATAGTTCTGAAACGGTTCCCATATCGGTTGGACCACAGCTAATGAATAGACCTGAAGTCGAGTAAGTTGGTAGGTATAGAGTTATTTTACAAGTAGTACAAGTACAACAGGTTCCTCAAAAATTATTGTCTGAACGCGCCATTTTGTTTACTTGCCAGAGATGGTATTTGATGTGGTTTATTGAGAAATTTGCCTTCGGCGCCATTACCCCCATTTTGTTTACCTATAAAAAAATTAAGGGAAGTAGTGCATGCCCTAGGTCAAATTTTACATGCCCTATCACAAATTTGACTCTAACTACGGCCCTGTACCCTTTCAGCTAGCCCTCTAGCAACCCAAAATAAATTATAAGAAAAACTAATATTATAAATAAACATCATTTCAGTCAGGGTGCTGGTATAGATGTGACACATATCTTATTATCAATATTTTATATATTTTTAAAATTATTCCAATCCAATTACATGATTAAATAATATTTAGTTCTTTAGATGAAAATCTGCTTACCCCTCTCGAAATAACTATTATGCTCGGAGACAAAGGAAAGACAAGCAAAACAAAATTTCTAATTAGGAATTGCCTCTTGTTTTCCGAGCCTCAGTTAAATTGTATATTCTAAAACAGCAAAGCTAATTAGAAGGTCTCGAATTACTTGATTGGTGGTTTGGAATTATTTTCAATAACATATCTTTAAGAATATAATATGGTTCCATAATTGGAAGAACAGAAACAAATAGGGAAATCTTTATTATTAATATTAGAATTCAAATGAATGATGAGAATATTGAATATGTGGACAAAATAAAATATCTTGGTTTCTATTAACCAGTTAAGTTTAAATGATCATTTTGAATATTGGTTAAATCGGTGAAAAGACTGAATTTTTATCTCGTTTAAGGTACAGACTATCATTATACATATACAAAGAATTCAATTTTTAAACAAAACAAACCGGAAAATTAGATAAATTTATTAACTTAGGACAACAATGGTAGATGATGTTGAAGACTAAAAACTGATTGGGTTCGGAAATGTAACAAGTATCAACGATAGGACTTCGATTGTTCTCAATTCTTCAACCTTTCCGCAGGTAACCCATCTTTTTGCGGCTACTTATGTTTCATTTCTTCTAGTGTCATCTTTGTTTCACTTTCACTAACTCTGATGGACGGTGTCCTCTGATGGTTTTTGTTTTGTGATATATAGATTCGTTTACCTAGAATTCCTGTGCTACTCGCATAGTTTTCTGTATATCATTAGTTCCCACTTCTCAATTCTTTATGCTCATATACAGTGTGCCCAAATTGATGGGATACGGGTATAGGAAACTATAACACATACAAAAGAGGCTGAATGGAAAAACTTTTAGATAAATATATTAGACCTTCAATAATGTTTGCAGATTGAGTCTAGCCTTTTACATTTTTGAGATATTCAGAAAAAACTGGAAATCTTTTATTTTTGAAAATTTCTCAAATCTGTAAAAACACTTTCGAAGCAACTATCTGTGCAGAATACGCATCTTCGATTAGATTGCTTTTAGCACGTTCCAGTTTTCTGGAACTGTCATCAACTTTATTGAATCTTATTGCCGCAATATTGGATTTTTATGTCATAAAATAGATTTAAAAAAAAATCAATGATATAAAGCACTTGACCAAATTATTCAGTTTTGACCACAGAAAATACGTTTTTATGTTTGGCCAAGAAACTGGACCGCGCCACATTCACCACTTCTGGTCACCAAAAACCTAGAATTGAGAGCTCTGTGAAGGTTGCATGTTCGTTGCGGGTTTAAAATGTGTGGTTGCTATTATATCCTATTTTAAACGCATCGTATATTTTTCTATGCATTTTTGTTTTAATTTTTTTTTAGGAACCCATCTCATCGGCCCTTTTATTTTTGAAAATACACTTAACGGACAAAGATATCTGGCAATGTTACGAAACCACATAGAAAAGGCCATAAGGGAAAGTATTCTTGAAGCGCAGTTGGATATGATTTGGTTCCAATAAGACGGTTGTCCTGCTCATTATGTCCGAGAAGTTCAGGAATTTTTGCATGATACATTTGGAGGGAGGGTAATTGCTAATCGTGGTCCAGTTCCTCGGCCACCTGGGTCTCCTGACATCATCCCTTCAGATTTTTATCTTTAGGGGTATGTTAAAAACGAACTAAACGAGGTAGGAGTTCGAATCGCCTGCAACCAGAGGAATACTCGAAGAAAAAACAAGACGTATTAAATAGGTAGCGTAAGCCGAAATACATTCAAGTAAAGTGTTTTTTAATGCCTCGACAAATTATATGTATAAAAATTATTGTCTTGGGATTAAAAAGTACCACTTTAGTCCCTAGGTGCATAATATCAATTTTTTTAGTTGTTATCTCATTTTTTTTCCTGTATTCTTCTTTTGGTTTCATTGATATTCTTTCTAATAGATTTATTCACGCTTGCTTATATTCCACTTCACTTTTGTTCTTTTTCTTTGCCCGCTTTCAATGTGTCAGAGTTTGAGCTTTCGCATTTAATAGCCTTTCCTCTATTTTCTCCTAGTAACTTTATATTTCTTGTTTCAATTTTAAATCGTAATTAAATACTTTCTATTCATTAATTTCAATATACGAAACAAGAAAAACTATTATTTCGCAAACAATAATGCCCCGAGGTCCAAATGAATAAAGCGAAGCAGCAATAAATGAACTCTGTGTTTTATATTTTATAGCAATGGACCTAATTAAAGGGACTATAAACACAACCTAATTGATAATATACCGTTATAGCTATTTGCTTTGTAGTTTAATTAATTGAAAGTTGAAAGGCGCGCATTTAAATGGGTGAGATTTGGAGTCTACAATTTTACTGCCCTGACAGTTCAATTAAATATTGTTAATTATCAAACTTGATTATTTGTCTGTAATATATTTATAAGGGAAATCGTTCGTGGCAAAATTAAGTCAAAAATTTATTTGGGTGGAACTAATAGTTGGGTGTCTATATCCAAACATTAGCTGATGTTGAAAAAACGGTCGACGATGCATCGGTTGAATGGATAAATGGACTCCAAAAATCATTCATCATGAATGTGAAATTCATCCTTACCTTTGCGACGCGACTCCGATTTTCAGTAAAGCTCTGGTTTTCTCGAAAGCGGCATCGTAATATGGCGATGGAAATACAGGGTGTCCCAGCCAGGAGTAGCCCATTTTAAATGCTTATAACTTTTAAACCAGGTGTGTTAGCTAACCTGCGGCTTGCGTCATTCGATTTCTCTTGAGCTAAAGTTTTTTTTTAGTGGGTTGCAAATTTTTTTGCCTCTTATACACGGCGAGTAGAAAACAAATTCGTTTTTCAACATCAAAATTCTCCACTGTTTTGAATGGAATGTCCTGTATATCACAACGTCAAAAAAAAAAGAGTCATGTTTAAGGTATCCATGCACCACAAACATCGTCCTTTAAATTTGAAGTTTTAGCCGCAAAAAATTAAAATCGAAATCCTGCTATTTTTTATATGCATAGTTACAAACCTTGAGAAATTATGTTTGCCTACTAAAAAGTTGATAAAATCTGCATAAAACTATGAAAAATGCGGGATGTGTTAGCCATTATGTTCCACGCATAAATGGATCAGTAAATGGTTGAAAAAGTTGTGTAACATCTCCTGGGAAATCGCTTCAATAACATCACGAATATTCCACTCCAGATCTTTAAGGCTATTTGGCAAAGGATTACAAGATCTCTCCTTGACATAATTCCACAGTAAAAAATCTGAAACTGTCAAGTAAGAAGAGTAAGGTAAGGTGTCCATTCTATAGGACCAGCTCTGAAAAAAAAAATATTCGGGGCAAAAAAAAAAAATGAAGTTCAATTAAACAAATATTTGTTCAGTAGGCGACAAACAACTCATGTTCTTAGGAGAAATATATGAATTATTTGAAATACCCAACTAGTATTTGTTTATTCAAAACAAATATTTATTTCACTTATTACTTATACTTACTAGGCCCAAAAATATAAAGATATGTATATTTGTTCACCTGAACTACATTAATGATTCGAACGAACAATTCCATGTGTTTGGCCCAAAGGTGCAGCTTCTTGGAATAAACAAATATTTGATTGTTTAAAATAATGCATTTATTTTTCCAAAATGCATTTTAATTATTTGAGGTAAATAAATATATGACCATATATTTTAAAAACATTTATTTATAAAAATGTAAGGCTTTTTTAAATCTTAAAATATGAACTGTAATCGAGACTGTAATAATATAAAATATAAAGAATTGTTTGATTGGCAGATCCGTCGCGCTCGTGCTTAAAAAATGACCCTTGATTTGTAACATCCATGTAAACAAATCATTGAAGTTTCTCTCTATGTCAACAAGATGTTAACACATTCCAAAGAATGGAGTTGTTCAAAATCTGAGCTGATCTGGAAAAAAACAAGAATCATAAATAATCTCCTTCAAGCTAAACGCAGATTTTTGAGAGAATGTATCAAAAGAATCACCATATACCTACCGTGTCACAGACGTGCAGTAACGATTTTAGTTTATTACGAATAATATATTGTTATATGTTAAACATTTAGTTATTTGGCCTAAACACCTGTGAATATGTCTGAAACATTGAATATTTTTTGTTTTGTATAGTTTTGTTCTTCTCTCAAAAATGACAAAGCTATAGGTACCTATACGAAGAAGCCATTTTCAATACCTACATTATTAAATTTGAATAAATTTTTCAACCTCAATTATACGATCGTTACCTATACAGATTTTAAGACCCACATTTTACTATTGTATGGATCCTAAATGTAGGTATATTAAACATGAAATAAACACTCTCGCTCTCGCATCATATACCTATACACAGTTTATATATTTCTAAGCTATAGTATATGAGCATTTTAAAAATTGTTTTGTAACATTCAGGCACTTACCCTCAAAAAATGGCAATAAGTGGCTCAGTGTCCACTCATCTAGTAGCTTTTTAACCAACATCATCAAACCGAAGCGATGCACACCCACACACTGACCTGAATAACAATTTTTTTTACTGTTCCAAATCGGGACGCTTTTTGGCACTGGCTGCTGGGCTTCACTTCACGCACGACAACTGTCTATACGCATCCCCTCTACCACCCGGGTGACATTATCATGGCTATATGAGCTTGTTTCAAATAACGGGGGAATTGTTTTAAATAACCAAATTTCAAATTTTATCGGTTTTTTAAATCAAATAAATCTGCCTTTCTGCTAAAACAGCCAACGCCAACTAAATATTTTCAAAAAATCAAATAAACCTGTTTATTCCGGACAAACGCTGTTTATTTGAGTGAAATACATTTTGTTTGAATTAAACAAATAAAAGTCAAATAAATATTTATTAGGGTAACATTTCAAGAATTTTTTCTGTGTATCCACCTTTTCCCAAATGTCATATCTAGTACCATCATCCTACTCTGAATAGATAGATATCGTTCAAGATACCTTCACATCTTTATTGTGGATAGAAGAAATTTCTCAACATATCAGTTTATACAGTTCCTGTTATCGTCGGCTCAATAATCAAAAATGGTTCGTATTTTTTCTAAGCAGAGATTGCACACCAACTGTTGCTTTTGGGGTATCTCGCTATTCTCACTGGAACTCGTTAAATTCTCTGGGCTACTATCGTAAATTCAATTTCGCCAAAATAACAATATAATCCTAAAAGTGGAGCCACATCCACAATTTATCTAGTGGCAACTAAATATAAGCAATTCAACTATAATCTTAGACACAAAGTACATATATCATAACAAAAACATCTCATGTAAAAGAATGGCCAAGTACGCGAAAATGGCAATACAGCTAAATTTAAACCCAATTTAAAACAATAACCCTTTCAATAGTTGAGTGTAGGTACTCGCCAAGTTTGAAAAATTTTAAAATAAAATAAAGCCACCATTTTATTTTCGAATGCGTAACAAAGAACCTGGCTTGATTTTGATTTCACTTCTTTTTAGGGATAAGTATTTTCGTGTACTTTGCCATTTTCCTACATGAAATGTTTTTATGATTCAATAATGTAGAGGGTATCTCATTTAGAATACGAAAATGAACCACAACCAGGTTTTCTGAAACACCCAGTATATCCGAAAGTAAGTTTTTGAAAAAAATTAATTTCATCCATAAAACTTCTATTTGGGACACTTTTTCCTAAAATGTCAAACAAAAAAAGGTAGAGGGGGTGACATTTATAACCAATAACCCGTACATGACTGCCAACGTCGAAAAGAATCTATACACCAGCAAAAACCAAAACCTTATTAGAGAAAAATAAGTAAAATAAACAAATTTTGGAAATTCCATCATCAATAATTAAAATTCTCAATTGATTTCAAGTTAGAAAAAGTGGGTTCATTCGAAACAACACAACTCCATTATAGGGGAAAACTGCGAAGCGGAAACTTTTCGTTTAAAAGGAAGTGCTAAAAACTGTTTTTCACGAGCGCTGACTTTACCTGCATGCAAAATCCATTTTTTTTGCTTGAGAGCGACGCGTTCTGATGTAAATTTAACTTGGGGGACTTATTCTTCGTAAAATTCAATTTGATTCTATCCCCTTACAAGCAGCCACCAGAGAACAAAAAGACAAAGAGGTAAGTAATAAATATTCAATTATAGTATTTTTCCATGATGAAACTCGTTTTATTATTATTATTTTTTTTATGGTCAGTTGAGTAGTGAACAAGAAATAAACAATGGCTGATATTAATAACAGCAAACCTCGAATCTGGCAGGTCATGCACGCGATTAATTTTTTTTTCGGCATAGTTATCGATAAAAGAGGAAAATACAAAAGGATCTCGGTCGATATAGGCAAAAAACTTTTGAATGAAGTTCAATTAAAAGCTCAATTCATAAATCACAATGAATAATAGTGCCGGATCAAAACGCTTGAATGGAACACAATCCGCGTCAATTTTTTAATTAAAATTCACCTCTCCCTGAAACAATCGCTAATCAATTTCAAAAATGGTTGATCGTGCAAAATAAGGCTCTAATCTCAGTGGCGAGACTTGAATAACGAGTGGGTGAATAGGTTGTAAATTGCTGTTTAGCCATATATTAGGAGGGAAAGGCAATGGAATGAATATCTTCTCAACTCTGAAACTAATTTACATAAATATAGGTGCTGTATTTAGGTTTAAAATAAAAGTGTCACAATTTTATTAAACGGGAAATTTTTTTCCATTGACTCATTTTTATAATTGATTTGTTGACTGTGACAAGAAACTCAATATACATCTTTGCGCATGATAAAGTTTCTCTTCTGCAAAACCGCTTCCACAAGCTTCGCCCGAAAACAGATTCACTCTAAATACTAATGTCTTTATTATTCTGCAAAAAACAAATATACCTAGATAATAAATTTATTAGCAGTGAGATCTAGCTTACAGCTACTCATATCTAACCGCAGAAAATAACTAAATTGTTATCAACTTACTTAAATACGTAATACCTAATTACCTAGTACTAAAATGACCAAAATAAAAATGAAACTAAAATTTTCCGAACAACACATTTATATAACCTATGTTTTCAGTCTTCACATTCATTCGCTAAGATTCAACAATAAATCCTTTAACACACTTTTTGAAACTAAATTGATTACAGTGTCTAGTTGACCTTTTATAAGAAGTATCAGACCTACGACTAAGCTTTTCAAACAGATACTCAGGCTGTTTCGTTGAGATAATTTTGAAAGTCAAAGTTACCAAATGCACAGAAAATATTTTTTGCAGGTTGAGCCATTTAGATTTATCAAAAAGAGGGGATATATGATCAAATTTCCTATGACCGTATGGAAGCTTAAAACATGAATTCTGCAATTTTTGAAAGCTCTTTCTATCCTTACTTGCCAAAGCTGGCTAATATACCACATCACAATAACCCAGATTCGAAAAGACCAGGGAATCACACAATCTTAGTTTTGTCAGTATAGAGAAAATCACGATGCATATAGAAAGTGCGCAGTTTAGTAAATCCTGCTCGCAAATGGGTCGCAATATGCGAACCAAAGCGCAACTAAGAGTTCAATAAGACACCCAGATTTTTACAAGTATTTGAAGGAATTAGGCTTAGCCTAGATCATTGATCTCAATAACAAAATTATCGTTTGAAGACAGGTGTTCACGATATTTACCAAATAGCATTGTTTGTGATTTGGCGCCATTCAAAAAATGATTGAGAAGTTTCATAAATCGTTTTCAAATCACAGTTCACCTGGTCTGTTGTGTCCAGTTGTGTTTAGCTGTAAGTTTTTGTATATTTATTTGGAATTATTCTAATGATGAATTGCTATTTTTGGAACAATTGAACTTATTTTTAAGCCTAATTAATTTCCACATTTTGCACTTAGAATTACGTTTTGTTTTTACGTTTTGCATAATTTATTAACCAGTACAAAATTCTCGACAAACTTTCACCCTTTCCAACTTATCCTTTTCCTACATTGCAACTGCTCCTCATATTTTAACCTAACGCTTAAAAATATATGCGCGATGGTACCGTATGTAAAACCAATGAAAAAGGACGAAGGGAAGAGAGAAGGTTGTTGAGACCCGAGAAAAAACCAGAACCATATATAGACCAATAGAATCTGTTCGCGTGCCGGCGTACTACCTATTGCACCCGTCACCCCTTATGTGCATCCCCAAAAGGTAAGTCGAGATTTCTCGTTTTCATTCACCTTTTTTCTTGCAATTATTAATTACATTTTTGCGTATTGCTACTTTACATTATACCAGACCGAACTGGGTAATTTCACGTGGTGTGAGTCAGCTCAGAGTAACTTGCACCTACCAGTTATACTTATGAAACTATAGTCTATAGCAACCCCCAAACATGCTCCTTGACATTTTTAAATTCATAAATAGGAAACGAGTAGTATATCTGCATGTCGTCGGCATACTGATGAGATTTATAAAATTTCAAAAAACTAGCAAAGTCAAATGTGTACCCAGAAAATAGCAAAGTACCAAGTATACATCCTTGGGGTACACCCCTTGTCAACAGTACGGAATCTCAGCAACTATTGCCAACCACCACCCGCTGCTCTCTGTCCTTTAACTAGTTCTTCATGAAAAGCACCGAGGATTTGTCGAGACCAAAATACTCCAACTTGGTACATAAAATGTCGTGGTCCAACGTGTCAATAGCCTTGCTGTAATCCAAAAGCGCAAGAGAAGTAGTGCTACCGTCACAAGCCCGAAAAATATCATCCGTTACTTCAAGCAGAGCAATATTAGTACTATGAAGTGGGCTAAACCTAGACTGTTTGACTGGCACCATTTTATTACCATTAAAATAATCGTCGACGTCGACGCAACTGCATAATATGTGTGGGATTTGAAACTTTAGGAACGGGTATGACGTTTGCACA